ACATTTAAATGAGCTGATTTTGTTGTTGTTGTGGTTAATCCTCTCTCGAGAATACTTTTTTCATTGATTTTTAGAGAGAGTGGGAGGGGGGAGAGACAGAGAGAAACATCTCTGTGAGAGAGAAATATCAATTAGTTGCTTCTGGCATGCACCTGAGGCCAGGGGTTGAGCCTGCAACCAAGGTACATGCCCTTGACTGGAATTGAACCTCCAACCCTCAATCTACGGGCTGATGCTCTAACCATTGAGCCAAATCAACCAGGCCTACTTGAGCTGATTTTTAACAATTTTGTTAAAATATTTCCTAAAATAGATTCATGTGAGCAAATTTCTATTATCTAAAACACTAATATTATTTTAGTTCAGACACTTCTTCATTTAGAGCTGTTTTTACTATTAAACATTTATTGAGTTTCAATGCTATTCAGAATGGTTTTACATGCATTACCTCAAGTAATCTTTAACAGTCTTGTAAGGAAGATATTATTATTCCATTCTACCAATGAAGAAACTAAGCTTATTTAGATTAAGTAACCTAGTCAGTGTTTCAACCAGAACTAATACCTATGTGTACCTTCATGTTTGGCTGTTACATAGTGTTAGGCTGGTACAACCAGAAGGGAGGTGAGAATCTTGCCATACATTATAAATCAAATAATAAATTAATAACTTGTAAGCAAAAGTTTTAACTATTCCTTTAGAAATAACTCGAGTGCAAAAGACCTCTCATATCTATTAATAATTATAATCTTAATTAGAGGCCCAGTGCATGGGAGGGGAAAGGGGAAGCTCCCTCAGCCCAGCCTGCACCCTCTCACAATCCGGAACCCCTTGGGGATGTCTGACTGCCGGTTAAGGCCTGCCTGTGGGATCGCCCCTAACCCCTCTGCCTGCCTGCCCCTAACTGCTTGCCTGCCTGATTGCCCCTAACTGCCTCTGCCTTGGCTCCTGCTGCTGCAGCTTCATCCCAAAGGACATCCAGAATAATGTCCGGAATGATATCTGGAAGGTCGTTTGGCTGTCTGTCTGGTCTAATTAGCAGATTACGCTTTTATTATTATAGATCATACAAATCTGTTTGGATGAAGAATGCCATGGAGTATATAATTTTTGTACAATTTTATAGTTATGTTTTTATTTTATTTTTATTATAGTAGTACATATATCTCCTTTTTTATTTTCTTATGTTGCTAATTAAATTTTAATTTGTAAAATGCACAGACGCTGGGAAACATTTATATTTAATTTTACCTTTCATATATTTCCTTACCCATTAGGAGCAGTGATAAAAATTTCACACTACACAAAATGGTTCTAGTTAGTGTAAGTTTTTCTCACATGAGAACTATACACTATATTTAAAATTAAGGATTTTATATTTGATTTTATAGGAATATCTTGTAGTTTTACTGATCATGTATATATTTCTGTATACTGTAAGAAACTTATTGTTGATCTGTACCTTTAGAAACAAGGTCATAAAACTCAAATTATAAAAGAAGTTTCTTTCATTGATTCTAATAACAGACAATCCATGAAATAACCATCCCTGATTTTTTATCATATTAATAACAACATTTAAGGTAGAATCCTAAAAGGCTAAAGCAGGACTCAAATGAAGTAGCTATATTCAATTACTAAATCTGTCCAGTGTTCATATCAAATGTTTTAAGAGCAGGATGGAAGATAAAGGATAGATTTAAAAGACAAAAGATTAAGTTTACACAGTCAAGTTTCTTCAGACTTGGAACTATCAGTCACCAATATACGGATTTGATTTTCAGCTTACCATATATCTGACCTGCTTTTGAATACTGAAAATAATATTGAGAAGATCACTCATTAATTCAATGGATTTATACCAAACAACTATTAGGAAGAACTATAGTAAATTCTAGGTGTATATATATGAAGGGTGGAAAGGGTTATTACAGCAAATCCTATTTAAAGAAAGGAAGATATATAAAAATGAGGCATATCAGATAAACTGTAAGGAGTATGATAAAATAGGTTCATATATAATACTAATAGGAATTCAGAGATATTAGCAATCTTGGGCTGAGGGACACAAAGAATCTTAGGCTGTGGAATCAAAGATGGCATTGAGGTGTTTCAAACTAAGTAATTTAGAAGATAGAGTTCCCCTTAAAAAAGGATGAAAAAAGATTGCAAAAGAAGACAATATGTTCAGTAGTAAACATATTTAATATGTAAGTAGAGATGGCCAATGAGGATGGGAATTCATTGATGAAGTAAATCCTGGAAACAAAAGATTTGAGATATAAAGACATATATTAGGTACTCTGAGAGCAGAGTAGCATTAAATCAGAGCATCAAGAAAAGCTTTTGATAGTAGGTGGTGCTTGACTTTAACTTTAGTTTTGAAAAGAAAGGCAAACACATCAGGAGAAACAGTAGTAGAAAAAGTATGGATAAATGCAAAGAAGCATAAAACATGTATGGTATGACTAAAGAAAAGGATGTGTATGTGGGAAGAGTAAGATAGTAGCAATTAAAATAAGTAGGGACCAGATTATAAAGGATTCAATGCCCTAAGCCTTAGAATTTAAACTTAGATTTAAAAGTTGCAAGGTATTATGAAAAGATTTTCAAATAGGAGCAATATAGTCTGATTTAATTTTTAGGAGATTTCATCTCATAAGGAAGTGAGATTGGAGAGAAGGGGTCATACAGGAGGCAGGGTAACCAGTCAGGAGGCCACAGCAATAACCTAAGTAAAAAGTGATGGAGGTTGAATGAGAGCTGTGGCAAAGAAAAGAAAGAGAAGCCAAAGAAAGTTGAATGTTTCAGGGCTTGATAACTCCATAGATATGAGGAGAGAGGGAGAAATTGGAGTCTGGAACAACTTTTAAGTTTCAGTCTGGGTAGATGATAATGGTGCCATTCCTATAGTTGTAAAATCCAGAGAATTAAATCTGAGTTGAAAGAGGGGGTGTCTGAAGCATCTGAGGCACCCATCCTATAATAAAGAGGGAATATGCAAATCGACCATCTCTCTGCCACAAAGATGGCTGCGCCTATAGCAGAGGTGGGGTTTCCTTAACATAAGATGGCTGCACCCACAGCAGAGGCTGAGTTCTGGTTATGAACCTTAACAAGCAATCAGCAGGGGGCCTGAGGCTGCGCCTTCCACCCCCACCCAGCAGGGCTTGATGGGGGACCTCAGGTCGTGCTCTCCTTCCCGGTTATGTAATCAGCAGGGGACCTGAGGCTGCACCTTCCACCCCCTGCCCAGCGGGGCTTGATGGGAGACCTCAGGCCACACCACCCATCCTAGCACTAGGTCAGGGGACCTGAGGCTGGACCCTCCACATGGTGGGGCTTGACAAAGGTGAGACTGGCCAGGTCTGGATCTAGCCCAATTTGGAGAGGAGGGGAAGGGACCAGCCAGGTCTGGGTCTCGTGCAATTTTAAAGCCTATGTGGATGGGTGGGGACTTGACTCTGGGTCCTATGGTGTGCCTCAGACTCTGACAGGAGAAAGGCTTTAATATACATTTTACTAATTTTCTTTCATCTCTGACATTTCTATTATAGAAAAAGGGCCAATAGCAATATTAAAATGTTTCTTCTAATTAACCCCCTTTTAATGTGCATGAATTTCGTGCACCAGGACAATTACTATATATAGTTTAGTTATTGACATTTAAGTGAGTATATTCAGAATATTGGGTTCAGTAGACCGTAGGGATACAATATCTGAGCAGTGCCAATGGTGAAGAAGATGGATATGAAATGATACTATCAAAGGAGAATGTACAGAGTGAGAACAGCAGGTGATAGAGGCTGGAAAGGAAAGAAGCCTATGTAGGAAGCAGAGAGCCAAGAATAAAGAAAACCAAGAGAGGCTGTTGTTACAGAATTGGAGGGAGGAAAATGATTCAAGAAAGAGGATATTTTCATTAATTTATGTATTATTTATGGCTATTTTTGTAGTATAATGGTATTGTTGAGTAGTTGCAACAGAGATCATATGGTCCACAAAGCCAAATATTTATTATCTGGCCCTTTAGAAAAAAAATTTGCCAACCTCTGCTCTACAGAGAATAGTGGGGAAATAGGAGTGTGTTATTATCTAGGTTTCAGTTATATCTCTACTTTCAGAAGAAAGAGAAGAAAACATTCTTGGAAGAAGATAAAGATAGAGATTTTTAAAAAAATTATTGATTTTTAAATTTGATTTGTTATTGAGAGAGAAAGAGAGAGGGAGAGAAAGATAGAAATATCATTGATGAGAGAGAATCACTGATCGGCTGCCTCCTGCACGCCTTCTATGGGGATTGAGCCTGCAACCCGGGCATGTACCCTAACTGGGAATTGAATCCTGACCTTTACAGTGGAAAGAATGTATGGGGAACCAGTTCCTAATCACTCTGCAACTGGTTTTTAAGATTGTGGAATATTCAATTCTACTTTTGGTGCTTTTAATATTACAGAAGGTAGTAAATTTATTATTTAATAACAAGCTAATAAGAGATGAAGAACAAGACTCATCAGTGTAACAATGTGAAGAAGGAATAACTGTTACTAGTTTAGTTATTGACATTTTCCAGAAATGTTTGACAGCCTTAGAACAGGAAAGTAAAACAATAGAACAATATGTGTCGGTTTATAAGAAGATTCAAGATTGGGGTACGGGGCAGCTAGAAGGATAGGAGGGCTATGATATGCAGAGGACTCGGTCAAAAACTGACTAACTTATAACTGGTATGGATTACAAATGGTAAAAATTTTAGGATAATTTCAATGTAGCTGTGCAGCTCTTAAAAAATAAGTATGATCATGTGAAGAAATTAAACCATGTTATCCATTGCTTAGTTTTAAATGTGAGTCTGCTATTTCATTTACCAAGAAGTTACAATTGACTAATACTTTTTAATCAGCAGAAAGACATGTAAATAATTTACTTGCTAAAGGTTTTTCTAAAAAGGATTTGTAAGTCAATATTTTTATAAACTGTTACTATATATATATACTTACCCGCTTTATTACTAAGCTTGTATAAGAAAGTTTGGCGAGGGTCTGAATGATCTCGACATGTCAATTGCAAAAGAGAACCTGATTTTTTCCATTTCTGCATAAACCACAGACCTAGAGAGTTATAAATGATATGTGAGTAAAACTAGAAATATATAGTAACATATGCCAAGGTTATTAATTTTAATATATTTCATTTCAGAAGAGACATCCTCCAAATTAGCATTCTGTTGGCTAATAAATATATTTACATAATATTTTCATTTTGTGATAACAAATGTATACACGTCCACATATAGGTTAACTGTGAGTTAATGGACGTTAAAATGGTTATTTCTTTCTCAATCAGTAGTAAAATAGATAATGATCTATGAAGAATAAATCTGGGAAATTGATTGTCTTTCACTTCTTTCATTGACAAATTATAAAGAAGAAGGGGGAGATAAAACTTCAAACAAAGTAGTAGATCTGAACACCTAAGTACTGAGACTTTACACTATAGATAATTATAATTAAGTTATGGCAGACTGATTATATAAGATCAACTCTGAGAATGAGGACTTGGTTAATGTTTGTTAGCAATAGTTGAATATAATTTAACTTTCATATTTAACTGTATTTCTTTATATTACCAGTTACCCATATTTAAATGTATCTTCTGTGAAACCCTAATCACTCTGGAATTGGTTTTCAAGATTATGGAATATTCAATTTTACTTTTGGTGCTTCTAATATTACAGTAGGGAAGAGGAGAAGTTAAGAAAAAAAACTTAATTGATTAAATCTGATCATTGAAAGCCTATTTTGGAGAAAGTTTAGTGAAGAAAGAAATACAAAGTATTGCATCTTATTTATATTGGGTCCTATTTTTTTATTATTATTTATGGATTTCATTTTTCTCATGTCCTAATTTTCAATCTGAAAAAATTTACAACTAGCTATATTTTGGATACCAGCATTTACACTTGATCTTAGCCAAAAGGCCGAGAAGCGATTGAATACCAGCATTTAAATAAGACACAATTTTTTTTTTTTTTTTTTTTGTCAATGAAAAAAGTGAAAGACAAAATCAAAATAATAGTTTTAAGGCTCAATAAAAAACAAAAACAAAATGAAATATAGTTTATCCTCTCAATAGAAATCAATTGACTAAATTATAAAAACCATTTTAAAAAAATCTAAGGAAAAACAAAGCCAAATAAAAAGTAAATCAAGAATGAGGGCCCTAACCGGTTTGGCTCAGTGGATAGAGCGTCGGTCTGCGGACAGAAAGGTTCCAGGTTCAATTCCAGTCAAGGGCATGTACCTTGGTTGCGGGCACATCCCCAGTAGGGGGTGTGCAGGAGGCAGCTGGTCATTGTTTCTCATTGATGTTTCTGGCTCTCTCTCTCTCCTTTCCTCTCTGTGAAAAATCAATAAACTATATTTAATAAAAAAAAGAATAAAAGAATGAGGTTAGTGATGTCCTAGCTGGTTTGGCTCATTGGATAGAGTGTCAGCCTTCAGAATGAAGGGTCCCGGGTTCAATTCCGGTAAAGGGCCCATGCATCGGTTGCAGGCTCGATCCCCAGTAGGGTGTATGCAAGAGGCAGCTGATCAAAGATTCTCATTGATGTTTCTATCTCTCGTTCCCTTTTCCTTTCTCTCTGAAATCAATAAAAAATATATATATATATTTTTAAAAAGAATGAGATTAGTGAGAATATTTTTTCTAATCAAAATGGGCTCTTAACTTTCATTTTAATTTCTTTAAAAATTTTAGAATTTATTTCCTCATAATATCACTGTTAAAATCAGAGTTAACATTCTATATAAAATATTTTATAACTTACATTTACTGGCTATCTGTTTAACTGATAGAACAACAGAATAGCCTATTTATAAGATAAACATTTACTAAAAAGATTTAGTTTAATTAAAAAAAATGCTCTAGTTACTTTTTACAAATGTCAACTTCAATATAATATTCATTTTCTGAAATGACTTATCAGCTTATTTCATGGGCATGACAAAACAGAAAACAGCTACATATTTTTTTCATGAATTTTCAAGTATGTGACAAATTGAGTCTAAAATAAACACACACTATATTTGACTTTTCTTCCCATACCATATTTTTATACTGAACAATAAAACTTTTTACCTGTATTAACAAGAGCACTGCTGTTGTAGAGTGTACCGAGGTGAGGTCCAGAAAGAGACAGAAATGTATGAAGTTTGTGGAGGTAATATTTAAACCTTGGCCTTGTAAGCACGGAACGAATTATTAAATTGCCCAACGAATGTCCAATAAAGCTTTAAGAGGGGAAAAAAAGACATTTCTTCCATATGATATTTTTAAAAACAAATATCAAAGTGATATGAATAGACATAGATGTAAAATATTAAGAGTTAAAAATTTTCTAGTATGTTTTAAAATTATGATTTGATACTTTGAAATGAGATAACATATTTTGAAGGAAAAAAAATGTTACTGTAGTAGAAAGTTCCTATTAGTAATTTAAATTGCTTACTCTATGGAAACAATATATTACATAGAAAATGTTACTTATAGTTTGTAATTGCTTAGAAATAAGTATAATTGCTTATACTTTATAAATAATATACACTGACTAGATAAATTTGTCTCCCTAGGCACACACACAATTATTTTCTTAAACAATAATTTAAAACAAACTTTTCTGGACCACACTCAAAAGTAGGCAGTTCTTCTGACTACTCTCAAGGCACAGCTAAAACGTGCATTTTCCTACTATAAGTCTAAGATCATTTATAAAGTGTTTCACCTTTATTAAGAAATAGTTTAAACGAAAAGAGCCTTTATAGTTTAAATGAAAAGAAACTTAGCATTATTTTACAATAGATAATATATGAATTCCTGGGGACAATAACAAAAAAAGGAGCCCTGACCGGTTTGGCTCAATGGATAGAGCGTCAGCCTGTAGACTGAAGGGTCCCAGGTTGGATTCCAGTCAAGGGCATGTACTTTGGTTGCAGGCACATTTCCCGTAGAGGGTGTGCAGGAGGCAGCTGATCAATGTTTCTCATCGATGTTTCTAACTCACTATTCCTCTCCCTTCCTCTTTGTAAAAAAATCAATAATATATATGTATATATATTTAAAGAAATGAAAGATGTTTAAACACTGGTTTATCCATATAACTAGTGAGAAGTTTAGGACGAACTTCCCTCCTGAACTGACTTTCCTAAAGCTGTGGGGTGAGAGTAACTAACAGTCCTCAATCAACTAGATCAGGCTTTTGGATAATGGGTGATTATAACTGACAACCTAATCTGAAGAGGGAATACTTTTGTGGATGAATGAAAAATTAAATATTTTTCTCATAAAATAGTAAATGAATAAAAAAATATGAGGATCACTGTAGAAAATTTAGTAAGCAAAGATATTTTAAAATTCTATAAATGAAGAGAATTAGAACGAGAAAATAATTTCTTCTCCCAACATACTTGTAGCTATCCCCATATCTTAACAGAAATCTGTTTTGTGTTTTTCTTTAAATTTTAAGTAGAAACTTGTTTATCTATTTCTCTAAAATGCATGTTTTAGCTGTGCCTTGAGAGTAGTCAAAGAACTTTCTACTTTTGAGTGTGGACCAGAAAACACTTTTATATTTAGACTGGAAACTACAAATGCTTATAGTATACACAGCCAGCTTCTTCCTCTAACTTAATGGGGATATGAAGATAATTAGTTTATTCATTTTGAAGAATGAAGGTTAGTTTTTACTTAATTCCTAATAGACTAGAAGAAATAAATATTTTTCTCTCTCCCATGTATATCCTCAATATCTGATTAAATAATGAGACATATTGGTTTGATCACATCTCTTACTTGTAGAAAACTAACTTATAGTTATAAAACTTTGAAAATATTTTTATTGTTTTGTGTATTTATATATCCATTTTCCTTCTAACTTTTCTTTTTTGTAACATCTTTTTTGAGATATAATTCACATACCATATAATTCATCCACTTAAAGTGTACAATTCAATATTTTTTAGTGTATTCAGAGTTGTACAGCCATTATTACAAGAAATTTCATAACATTTTCACCAGAAAGAAATGCTGTACTTTTAGCTATCAACTACCTACCTGCCATTTCCCCCCCACTCTAAACAATCCCTAATCTACTTCTGTCTATAGCTTTGCAAATTCTGGACAATTCATATAAACAGAATCACATAATATGTGATCTTTAAAATTTTTCTTTTCTCTTCCAATTAATTTGAATTGTGATCTCCTATATTCAGAATAGGATGACAAAACTGTCACAAATATTTTTTAGGTTTTCTATAATTCATAGAGATATAAAAATAGTTGTGTAATATAGAAGTTACCTTATTTTTGAAACTGTTAGACTGTATATCTGAATATATTGTATTATCTCATCCAGAAGACGGTCAGTCATGCTATCAAAATCAGCAAAAGTATCATTCTAAACAAAAGTAAAATGGACATATTACATACTGAAAATGTATAATCACATGAAAAATTGAACATAAATATTATTTTTAATTTAGGTACTAAAATATGGTTACGACCAATATTTTTAAAGATAATTTGGTGAATGTAATATTGATTGTATTAAAATAATCAAAAAATGGTGACTTTCTAGGGAAAAAAGGTTCAATGTTCTTAATAACACTTCATTTAGTTATTTAACTGTTTAGCCAACTACCAGCATTTAATATGTTATTTATAATGATTTCATTAATGGAATATTTGCATAGAAATGTAAATCTAGAAATTCTGCATATGTGAAGAGCTAACAAATAGAACTATCAATCATTTAATTTACTGGGGATAGGCATTAATGTTAAATTTTTTAGAAATTAGAAAATCTATTTCTATTACTGTAGGCATTTTGTAGTAAGCAAATATTTAGGTAGAAAGTAGTACAAAATTATTTGCTTCCATTGAAAATACTGTGATATTGTACCTGATTTCTCTCAGACATAAGAAAATCAACTCTTCCCCCCGGCAGTCCAAGTTCAATATAAGTTTTTACTAATCGCAGATCTGCACTGTTACCTAGAAAATAAAGAATTCCATCTAAAAAAGATAAAGTAAAAGGCATGACTAACTGTGCCAGTTATAAAAAGATAGTGCATTGTAAAACAGAGTCCTCAATTTTTATTTCAAAGCTGACTTCCATTAGCCAGCCAATGTCTTTCAACAGTTTTGTCTCTTAAGTTTTGGTCACATTGATGCTTTCACTTTCTTTTCTAACTGTGTCTTTAACTGTCAGCACTCACTTGGGTGACTGACTACTGGTTATAGTAACTGTGAATGACTGACTGTGAATGACTACTCTAGATGATCATTTTACAAACTTTGAATTTATTTTAGACGTAGATTTAATCTGTTGACTTTCCTTTGATAGTACTGGCATAGATGAATGAAAATAAAAATCCATATAAATAATCTGGGATGGTTTATCTTAATTACTAACTTAAATAGAAATATAAAATATTAATAATACATAAATAGAAAATATTAATAAACAAAATAGAAAATATTAATACATAAATATAAAAATCATTATCTTTAAAAATTAGTTTAGTAGCTTATTTAGGAATGAGCATGTCAATATCAATTTTTGAATTTTTACCCTCTCTATATAAATCTTTTAGATATTTCATGCACTGACAGAGATAACTGTTTTATTCCGAACTTTAAAAGGAACACTTCTAGTGTTTAATTACTAAGTATATGTTTCCCACTGGCTGGAAATATGTTTAATCACATTAATAAAAGCTAGTGCTATTTAAGGCTTCAAGTTTGATGCTTAATTGTAATAACTGGGAATACTGAATTTTATCAATAGTTTCTTACTTGATTTTCTGATATATTAATAAATTTCTTTATATTTACTTGTCTCTGCATTCTGGGATTAAATCCTATTTGCTAGAGGTCTTTTTGACATTCAAAAAATTAATTGCCCTAGCTGGTTTGGCTCAGTGAATAGAGCGTTGACCTGTGAACTGAAGGATCCCGGGTTCAATTCTAGTCAAGAGTACATGCCTGGGTTGCGGGCTTGATCCCCAGTAGGGGGCATGCAGGAGGCAGCTGATCAATGATTCTCTCTCATCATTGATGTTTCTATCTCTCTCTCCCTCTCCCTTTCTGAAATCAATAAAAATATATTAAAAAATAAATTATTTTTTTAGTATTGGGTGTGATATCTTTTTCAGACTTGATAACAGGGTTAGGTGAATGTTAAGAAACAAAATAAACTATGTTCCATCGTGGTTTTTTTTTTTCTATTCTGCAATAATTTATATAACATAGGGAAAATTTTTTCTTCAATACCAGAAATTCTACTGGAATTAGCCTTGGGAGCATATTCATGAAAATTTTATTACTGTGGTGAAAGAGGTTAGTACTGGAGGCATTTTATTCCTAGAGAATGAGTTGTTTTTTAAAGAACTTACTATCTCAATCCACTTTAGTATTTTTATAATCTATAAAATCTTTTGTCAATTTATTCTTATGAAATAACATTATAGCGATACCCTGATAGTCTAGAGATACTTGGCACCTTTTAATATAATTTCTAATAAAGAAAAAAAAGTCTGTTGAATAATAAAAATAGCCATCAAAAAACCATGGCACTAAAGCTAGGTATTTAGAATTTAAATTAATCCCTAATTAACTAGTGAATCTTTAATTTTTTTAAACAATGTATTTTTATTGATTTCAGAGAGGAAGAAAGAGGGAGAGAAAGACAGAAACATCAATGATGAGAGAGAACCCTCGATTGGCTGCCTCCTGACAACCCACACTGGGGATGGAGCCTGCAACCCAGGCATAAGCCTGGACCAGAAATCAAAACATGACTCTCCTTGCTCATAGGTCAACGCTCAACCACTGAGCTAAGTGGCTGGGCTGAATCTTTAATTTTAAGGTGTTGACTATTCTAGTCCTGTGGTACCCACGAGGTTTAAAGCATCAAGCTAAAAGGGAACTAGGAAGAAGATCAAAGGGAGACAAAATATTATAATTGCTATGATGTAATAACTGAAAAAAAATCAACAAACATAAACAGTAACTCTGTACAGTGATGCTGTACAGAGAAAAATTCAGTTAAAATAAATAAAATGTTGGCACATGGATGTTAGTTCCATTTAAATTTACTTAAAAGGAAATCTAATATTATACTTAGCACAATTAAGCATATTCCTATTTTAGAATATATTTAAAATTCAATTAATTTAAGCAATTAAAAAAATCCTTTTTGCAGTTCAAAGAGTAAATAGAATGGAATGAGATCTATTAAAGAAATAAAACATAATTGAGTTGCTATGGGTTACATCAGTAGATGCTTCATACCATCTAAACCATGCACGCAGACAATGAGATGTACTCCATCTTCAGAACCACCCTCTTCTTCCGTGCTAAAGTAAGGGGCTGAGGATGCCAGCAGAGGAGCATCACTGTACATAAACCCAGGGAGTTTAAGTTGCTTCAATTCTTCTTTTGCCTGAAGGAAGCTAAAGCAAATATATTTAGTTTTAGAACCAAAAAGATAATCTGTTGAATTTATGGAAGAGAAGAGGAAGCCTAGAAATTGATTTTAAAATAATCAAAATATGTGGGATCACCTAAATGACTTAAAAATCGGAGAGTAATTTTCTTTACTATTTTTAGTATATATTCTGTTCAAATATAACTACTATTTTAAATCTGAAATTAAATTTAAGATATTCTTTTAAACTTGAAATTAACCAAGAAAATTAGAGGAGTGGAGTTAATGCTTTCTATAAAATTTTATATTTTATGCATAGAAAAGCTGGAAGAAGTATTGGAAAAATGACAATCTGATACTCATCCTGTAATCAAATCTTGTTCTTTTTACTCCTTTTTACTTTTAATTTTTGTTTATCCTCACCTGAAGATATTTTCCCATTGATTTTTAGAGAGAATGGAAAAGAGAGACAGAGAGAGAAAACATGACTGCAGTCTAACTGGGGCCAGGGATTGAGCCTGGGATCAAGCCTACAACTGAGGTCCCCTGACTAGGACCAGGGATCAAGCCTGGGATGGAGCCTGCAACCCAAGGTACGTGCCTGCAACCCAGAATCAAACCCACAAGCCTTCCGTCTTGGGCAGAAGAATTATCCACTGAGCCAAACTGGCTAGGGTTTCTTTAATCTTACATAAATGGAAGGGAAGGAGCTGTTGTATAAAGTGTAACAATAAGAATGAAGTTATAGTATTAAGTAGATTAAGTTATTTTATTTCCTCTAAACATATCCATCAGAAGGAGCAAAACCAAGAGAGGGTTGTGACTAAATATAACTGGCGACATATATTCATTTGGAATGAGTGACTACTCAACTTGGATGCTGCAAACATAAAAAATTATTTTAACATTATATCATTTAGACTGATAAAAATAAACTCAAGCTGAACAGAGTAGGATACACTAGGTGAAGACCTATAGACCATGTTTTTCATTAGTTACTTAGGAACAGTTGAGGTACCCAGATGGTGATATAACCTTTAGTTTTCTATCATACTATAATTCTCTAATAGGCTGTTATCACCTATCTGGTTTCACTAGCTTTAGGAACTATGGATTTTAATTATGTTTATAATCATATTAATTTGGGAATTTGAAAAATCTCCAATAGGCATGCCCAGACCTTTCACTTGAGGGATTATATCTCCATCTGGAGAAAGACAGTAGAATATTTGAAAGCCAGTGCCAGGCTAGTAAACCTATATCATCTTCACACTTTTCTGGATTTTTTTTACTGGTCCATGAAATCTCAATTCTGGAAACCCTAACTTTGCTGAGGCAATCTGGGTCTGATAGGTTTAGGAAGTCTCTACTAACCTCTTATTCATTAACTAATATTTCCTTATTTGTTAGATGCACATATAAAACCTAACTTTTGTCTGGGAGTTAATGGGGCAAAATAAGGTAGTAATGAAAGAAGAGTTTTAACTGCAATTATTCCATACTTCTAACAAAAAAATAACCAATGGAAAATTTATATCAGGAATGTCTAGCCTATAGAATAGGACAATCATATGGGAAATTATAGGTCTGTCAAGTTGTATGAGTTCATTATTCCATTTTAGACAGCTAATGAAAGAAACACTTTTGTATTGCAGAAACCAGAGAATATGAAATATTACCAGAGAAATACATATATTTATAATATTCATATAAAAAATAAGAACTATATGTTTCTCTCGCTCTGTTTATTAGGACATGTTATTGTGCTCCATTACTTACGCTTGTATTTGAGGTTTTGGTGAATTTTCATACCAGGAAACAGATGAAGTGAAGTTGAAAGAAGCGCTGCTTGGCTGCTTTGTAATGGCATCAAATTTACTTTTAGAAGGATGCTTAACACTACAAGGAGACTCTCTTGGTGCAGACGGGAAGGACAAACAACCAGAAGTACAGACAGCAGGCATACTTATACCATCCCTCAGAAATTGGCTGTTTATGTTTTCAGATTTTATAAGTCTTTCTTCTTCTAGTGCATCACTCTTTGTATAGTGAGCATTTACAGTTCCATCCAAAGCTGAATAATCTGTTTCTTCATAATACCCATTTTGAACCATCTGTTGATCCTGCTCTTCCTCCTCATCCTTTTTACCCTGTTCCTGCTGAAGATTACTAATTCCCTTTTCAGGAGTTTCCTTCTGAGGGCTAAGTGAATTGTTAAAGCTAATAGCACATGTGTCAGAAATATCTGTACTGCTTTGACAGCCAAAATAATTTTCCACTAGCCCTTGTTTTACCATATCAGGACTAGCTGAAAACGGGTCACTTGTACCCAGATGAGTTTCACTTACAACTGTAGGGGCTTCTGAATTTATATGTTTGAGGTCTAATACATCACTATTTTTTCTTTTCACAGTTCTATCTTCACTAACTTCTATATGAGTAGAAAAGGAACCTGAAACAACACAAGGGGAGCCTAAACAAACCGGTTTTGAATTTAATGTAACTGCTGTTCCTGCAAGGTTATTAGATTTATCAGGATTCTGGGAGTCTTTACACATAGTGTCCAAATTATGTTTGGAGTTGCAACTACTTTTTACAACACTGGAAATATCTTCATCTGAAAAAACAACTTGTAAAGGGTCTTTAGTGCTTGAATTTAAGAAACTTATTGCTATAGTTTCATTGTCCAAATGCCCTGAAAATATGACACTCTGCTGTTGTAAAACAATACTTGAGTTTTTACTAGCATCACATTTTGGCAAATCAATGGTTCCCAGGTTTAAAACCGTTTTGCTATCACTTAAATGGCATTCGGGCACAACAGATTTCTTAGAATTTTCATCAGGTGACAGTTCATCATCAGAAGGTAGAGAGTTTATGGATGTCAAAGATGACTGTATTTCACTTATAGCACTTGTACTCTCAGTACAATGACTTCCTAATGAAAATTTTATATTATAATCAGGTTTCATCAAAAGCTGAGGAAATAATCTTTCATTATTGTAAGGACCTTGCCCTTGAACAATTTCGAACACTACATCAGGGTTAGGATGTGTTGCAAAAGAACTTGGTTCACTTTCAACACCTGAATCTGAAAATCTAGATGAAGCATATGTGGCATTAATATCTGGTAACTTAATTGTGTCTCCACTTACTACAACATGATATTCTTTTGTAGAAGAAGCAGGTTGATTACTTCTTAACTTAGCTAATGATTCTCCAACAGAACAGCACTTAACTTCCTGCAAAGATTCCTTTTCAAGTGTTATGTCTATAGATTTAGATTTACCATTAGATTCTAAAGACTCAAAGTTGGGTAGCTGTAAATTATCCACAAGTATTTCATCTTGTTGAAGCTCTGTCCAGGGACCTATTTTAACAGTTCTTTCCTCTGCACTGAAAAGATCTTTATTACTGGGATTTACTTCAATTGTTCTAACTGCTGAAGATGGAATTGCTTGATGATCATGGCAATCGTCTGATAAACTTCTGGTTGCCACATTGAGTTCCACTTGTGTAATTTCACTATCGTCCTGGGAGATATCAAGTTTACCTGAAATGGACAAATTTGCACAAAGATTTAGGCTGCCAGAGTTCAAAGGATCAAACAGTTCTGGTTGCATATTTTCAGTATCTGAAGACTTTTTTTCAGTTTTATTTGTTGGCAAATAGCTAGCTTCCTTTTGACTTGTCTGTCTGATGTAGGTCTTTAGGTCAAAATTATATCCACATACTGTGGTATCCAGACCTTCCTTCTGACTATGTGAAGGGTTGCCTTCAAAGCATGTAAAATGATCACTTGATGCTGTACTTTTCAAACATTTGTAGCCTACCAAAACCACAGAATCCTTAGAGTTCTGTTTTATTAATTTTTTGGTATTTTCAGGTTTCATTGTTTTCATGAGTTTAGTGACCTTAACCTTGGATTTATTTGATTCTTCATTCTTTCCTTTTAGAGATTTTGGTAGCTGCTTTTCACCTTCTGTATAGCAAAAACTGGAGGCACCAGCAGGTCTGACTTTCACCTCTGGGCTAGAAAGTCCAGCTATAGATCTTTCTTCAGTCTCATATTTATCCATTCTAGTGGACTCTGATCTCTGAAGATTCTGAATTCCCATCCAGGGTGCATCTAAGTCTTTTATCCAAAGAAAAAAAGATTCAGGTTTAAAATAAGGTCTCAGAACTCATATGATTAAGATTATTTTTTCTAACTATAACTTCCTAATATCCTCAAAAATAAGTAAAACTGGACGGGAAAATAAATGGACCCACATTAGGGAATGGTTTTATATATATTAGGAAAAATATACTGAAAACGGACACAAGAGCTTATATATTTTAGTTAGATTATACTTACCTTCAATAACTGAATCTAAATACCTATCTTCAAAGATTATAGGTAATGAATTGAGATCTCCATCTAATTCACTACATTCAATAGGTAGGGGTGGAAGAGAACTGCAGAAGGAAGTATTTTTGATAGCGGTGCACATCTGTAGATGACTCTGAGCACTGAAAAATATTTCTTAAGTCAGACTGTAATTTTAAAAAATTACACCTAATTCCACTTTACAAACTCTATACCCATTCCCCTTCCCCTGACCATTCCTATGCTCCTTCCTCAAGATATAACCTCATTATGAAAGAGCTCTTTGTTTAGAAAAAACTGGTAAGAAGAAAATTAGTTTGTTGACAATAAATTATTAGCTTACAAAATTATGGTTTATTAAAAACTTATTAATTTCTATTATATTCTTTTATACTTTTTAATGTTATTTCAGTGACTTATCTATGCTTGATGTCTGAACTTTCTAATTTGCTGAGACTAGAATACCATCAAATGCCTACTAAGGACTTGATGATAGAAAAAAAATGTATTCCATTTCTATTGCTATACTTAACTCATATTGATTAATAAACCCAATCACTTAGCCTCAACAATTAACATAGTACCCTTTTTGTTTTATTTATACTCCTACTCACTACCTTTCCCCACACTCTATTACTATTAATAGTTATTTTTTAGGTAAATTCACATCTATTGAAATATACAAATCTTAGCTATCTAACAAATGTATACATAATACAGATTGTTTTCATCTACCCGGAGAGTATCCTCATGGTTTTTCCACTCAAGTCAACTCCCAGCTTAAGTCAATAAGACAACCACTGTTTGATTTTTTCACCTTAGTTTTGCATGTTTCAAAACTTCATATAGATAGAATATTGAATCTACTCTTTTATGTCCAACTTCTTTCTGTGCAATTTCCTTAAAATATTTTTTAATGCCAAAGAAAGGCAATTGAAATATACTCAGTAACAGACACAACAGAATGTAGTTACTTTTACTTATGAAAATCTGTAATATGTAATAATGAATATAAGAGATTCTGACCTGTGGAAATAGAGATGCAACAGGATGGCCAAATACAAAGCTGGACTCAGAGCTGTATGGGACTACCAAGGTTATAGTAGATCTGATTGGGGGGGGGGGGGGGCAGAGATAAAGTGTAACACATTTCTTTACATGGGTACTTCATAAAGGAATTCATAAGAGTAAACCAAATTTGATTAAAAAGGATCTATCTGAACACCAAATAGTTCTCTTTTTTCATTTTAAATATTGTATATTCTGTCACTAAATTCTACAATAGTTATCTATGTGAAAGGAAATAAATAATTTAATTTTGAATTTAAGCTACTCACTGAAGTTCCTGGTATGCAATGACAGCTTCTCTTGGATGTTCAAAACAAAAGAATGCCTCAGAAAATCTGCGTACCTGAAAAATTCCAAAAGGAAATTTGAATAGCATTGCACATTTAAAAAATCAATCAGGCATGGGATGGTAGGGAAAGAAACCCTTTCATTAGGCCTCCCATAACCAGCCCTGTGAGACTCAATATCCCTCCTCAGTGTTGCCAAAACACTGTATTTTGTGTGACATTGTGTGAAAGAAAAGAAACAATAGAATGTAGAATGAGGAATTTAGGTTTGCATTATAGATTTGTTTGTCCTATAAGCTATTTTAATTGCCAATATAGTCCCACAATTAGTGCCCAGCACATGGGAAAAATGAATTTCTATTATGCCACATGTCAGGCATCCAAGTATGTGCCAGGTGAACTGACTCACTGACTTATTGGAAGTGTGACTTTGGGCATTTCACCTGAGCCTTGGACAACTCAATTTTCAATTCTGCTTAATACTTGTTTTCTGTAAAAGATTATTTTGAAAAAAGATAAAAACAAACTATTTGATAGCAGTTTTTAATCTGGAAAGTGTATGTAAATATAAACTATTATAATTGCCATTATAAGCATTCACCACATTTTTCCTTAAAATAATTGCATATGTGAAGCCCTAGCTGGTTTGGCTCAGTGGATAGTGTCAGCCTGTGGATTAAAGGGTTCAGTTTCAATTCTGGTCAAGGGCACATGCCCGGTTTGTAGGCTTGATCCCCAGTAGGGGGTGTGCAGGAGGCAGCAGATCAATGATTCTTTCTCATCATTGATGTTTCTATCCTCTCTCTCTCTCTCTTCTTCTCTGAAATAAAAAAATACATTTAAAAAAAATTGCATAAAATGTGAATTATCTCCTCTTTAATGTGTAATGTTCCTTAGAGTAGGAACTATATTTTGACTAGAGGCCTGGTGCACAAATTCATGCATGGGTGGGGTCTCTCAGGGTGGCCTGCGAGGAGCAGGCCAAAACCTGCAATCCAATGCTGCCTGCAGCTCTTCCCGGCCCCACTGGGCCTGCTGCAGGCTCATGCCCAATCAGTCCTGATTGGGAGAGGCTCACACCGCTGCTGCAGCAGCGCTCACCAGCCATAAGCCCTATATCTGGCACCCTCCCGAGAGAAGTGGCCTGTGGGATTGGGCTGAAACGGGCTCTCTGGCATACCCCAAAGGGTCCCGGATTGCAAGAGGGCACAGGTCAGGCCAAGGGACCCAATTGGTGCACAATCAGGGCTGGAGAGGGACCACAGGAGGGCTCCAGGGTGTGTCCAGCCCATCTTGCTCAGTCCCAATGGGCCAGACCCCAACAGCAAGCTAACCTACAGGTTGGAGCATCTGTCCCCTGGTAGTCAGTGCACATTATAGCGACTGGTCTGTGCTCTGGTCTTCAGTGCATGTCATAGTGAGCAGTTGAGTGGCCTTAGCATATCATTAGCACATTACATTTTGATTGGTTCAACAGTCGACCGGTCACCAGACAACTGGACACTTAGCATATTAGGTTTTTATTATAGAAGATGATTGTTGTTATTCCCCCAAATATATATCTTGGTATGTTACAGAAGCAAGTACTTGGGTATTGGTTGAATCTTCCATTATATTTGTATTTTGATCCTTACATTTTTAATTATGGAAGAAAAGGCTCTGTCAGCTATTGGAGTAATATAAAGCAACAGTAAGGAAATGGAAAAATGTTTTGCTTGGCAGGTACATGAAGGAGAAATGATTTTATATCTTGAAATTATATTACATCTAAGTTTCTTTTCTAAAGGGAAACATAATTTAGGGTTCTTTGGTGTTAAACATATATTGAATTGGTGATATATTTTACTTGTTATCAAGATGTGGCCAGTTGAATTTCTGACTTATTACACTTGTTTCCCTAAGCTGATGAGATTAGGTCTTCAGAGGAACAAGACAGTGAGAGAAGTAGGGAGAGGAAGGTAAGAGGAATCTATGAGGATGCAACTTGTGCCTTTACTTTCAAATGTCCATTTGCCTCTTTATCCTCTCTAACACTAAAGATGAGGAGAAATATCTGTCTGCTTGTCTATCTATTATAGATGTTTCTCCTGAAGGCTATAAAATATGAAGAAATGCAGCCTGAAGTCATCTGGATTCCTGTAGTTGCAGCTGGGCCTGCAAAACTAGCTAGTTGCTTTTCCTTCTCTACCTTCTCTGATTCCTACAATTACTATCATTTCTTGATAGCATTCTACCTACCAGGCTCTGGGCTAAAAAGGCACATTATTGTCTTCCTCCCCTCCCTTCCCCTCCTCCCCTCCTCCCCGCCCCCCCCCCTCTCTCTCGATAATCCTCACCCGAAGCTATTTTTTCCATTAATTTTTAGAGAGAAGGGAGGGAAGGAGGTAGACACACACACACACACACACACACACACACACACACACACACACACACACACAGACTGGGTGCCGGGAATGGAACCTGCAACTGGAATTGAACCCATGACACTCTGGTGACAGGTTGGCACTCTAACCATTGAGAAACCCAGCCATGGCTCAATTCTTTCATTTAAACCATGTAGAAACCCAATGAGTGAGGAAGTGGGCACAAAGAGATTATGTACCTGGCTAAGATAACATACCCAGCAAGTGATAAAATGGGATTCAAGTACAAACTTGAGAAATTCTAAATCTTGTGCTCCAAATCGCTTACTTAGTCCCTTCTATGTAAGATTACCAGAGTCTTTTCTCTCCTCTATGCTACCATACAAAATTTTCTTTCCAAAATTTCTCCTGTCAATATTTTCATGCTGTGGCAATGTGTAATGAAAAAGCCTATTAACTGTATTGTGTAGGCATAATTAAGGTATGACTGCCACTTGATGGGGCAAAAGACATACATAGAATCAATGTTAAAATTATAAATTCAAACTTAGGATATCAGTAATATATTTTATTAGGGGCCCAGTACACAAATTCGTGCACCTTGAAAGTAACTGTGGGCTGCAATAGGAACAGGTGAGCATCTTGGTCCATCCTCCGTGCCCCAGCCTGGCCCCTACCGCCACAGCCTCCCTACCTCCCCTACCCTCCCCCCGTCTTCTGTCTACTGGCAGCCCTGCTCTGCTGCCACCGCTCACACGTAGACGGCAGTGGCCCCGCTTGCACCTGCTTTTGCCCCCATTGCCCCTCAGAAGAAGGGGGCGGTGGAAAAGCCCTCAGGGGCGATGGGGGCTGGCAGCCACCCGTGCATCCACTGACAGCGCCAAGTGATCAGGACCGGCACTGGGTGCAAATGTTGGCTCCAGTGCTGGCAATAAGTGTGAGTGGGGCCGGCACCAGCAGTAGGTGTGAGTGCCAGGTGGGACTGTGGTGTGTACAAGAAAATATTTTCAGTAACCACCAGAGGCTTGCCCCAGTGACAGCGACTGGTGTCCCACCTTGGTTTGGCGCCCCTGCTCACCTGCTCCACCATCCTGCCACCCACCATGTTCTGCGTGCGCCCCCCGGTGGTCAGCACATGTGATGGTGACTGGTTGTATGTTCTGTGGTTAGGTCTATTTGCATATTAGGGTTTGGTTTTTTTAATATATTTTATTGATTTTTTACAGAGAGAAGAGAGGGATAGAGAGCTAGAAACATCGATGAGAGAGAATCATAGATCAGCTGCCTCCTGCTCACTCCCCACTGGGGATGTGCCCACAACCAATGTACATGCCCTTGGCCAGAATCGAACCTGGGACCTTTCAGTCCGCAGGCAGATGCTCTATCCACTGAGCCAAACCGGTTTGGGCACATATTAGGGTTTTATATATATATAGATGGGAAAGGAGGCATGTCACTTGGGCAGCTTCACTGAAAGCTGCAATTTCACACTCCTGAGGGAACATCCAGCCCATTCTGTGCAGATCACTGGGGGAAGGAGTCCAACAAAAAGAGAGACAGATGCATGCCCAGTGAAGTTAGGGTGGCATAGGGAAGGTACTTGCCTATCAGTCAAACCTGGGGATAGAGATCATTGACTAGAGTGGTGGAACCAATACAAGCTCATGAATATTTGGGAATACATAATCTTAGACAAAGGAATTCTCTCTCTTGGTTCCCATGTTCACTCTGGTAGCACCAGTGCAGACCCCACATACAATGGACTACAACTGGGAACTATGTTAGCCTGATTCTGGATTGGACTATGCCCTACCATGGAACATTTAAAACCTTTAGACACTGCCTTTGATTCTAGTCTCTGTGAGGCCATAACTATACTCCTTCCTTGGTGGGATGAAGGAAATGGGACCTTAGAAACTCAGGGGTGTAATTCCACAGAAATAAAGCGTCTACAATATTTCGTCCTCCCATGTGTATCTCAAGAAATTCTTTTTCTTGGGGATACCCAAGGAGCCCACTTCCATTAGCAACAGATAGAGAGAAGGACCTCTCCTCATAGATAACAGAACTGCTAGGTTATAAGGCAGTTCCATTTTTAATTTTCTAAGGTAACTCCGTAACTGCTTTCCACAGTGGCTGCATCAATCTGCATTCCCACCAACAGTGCACGAGGATTCCCTTTTCTTTACATCTTTTCCAACACTTGTCTGTATACTTATGATAGCAATTCTGACAAGTGTGAGGTGATATCTCACTGTGATTTCAATTTGCATTTCTCTAGTGATTAGTGCCATTGAGCATCTTCTCATATGTCTATTGGCAATCTGTATGTTCTTTTTGAAGAAGTGTCTATTCAGGCCCTTTGCCATTTTTAAATGGGATTATTTTCTTGCTGTTGAGTTGTAGAATACTTTATAAAATTTGGAAATTAACCCCTTATCAGATTTATCATTGGTGAATATGTTATCCCATTCAGTGGATTATCTTTTCATTTTGTTAATGGTTTCCTTTGCTCTGCAAAAGCTTTTCAGTTTGATGTAGTCCCATTTGTTTATTTTTTTTATGTTTTCCTTGCCTAAGGAGATATATTGGGAAAAAAACATTGCTATGTGAAATGTCTGAGATTTTACTGCCTATGTTTTCTTTTAGGATTTTTAAGATTTCAATGACTTACATTTAAGTCTTTAATC